TTTTTCTTTGTTTCTCTGATATATCAGTATTTTTTCATTTTTATCAGCTCCTATAATTTCAAGTTATACTCACCAGTTCTCAACTCTGCTTGTCAGATCTTTCAGCAGGTCTTCATTGAAATCCTCAAGCTGTGGCAGGTAGTTCAATAGTTGACAAAGAAGAGGATTTGGTATCACTGTCCTATTCATTTCTGTGGTCATCTCTGTTATAAAGTTTCTGAATTCCTACAACAGAGGCAACTTAAAATCAAATCCCCAGGCTGATAACTCAAATGGTGACAACCACCATGTGTATAAACTGTTTTAATTATTTTTTCAAAGTTTCAAGCATATCAGTGAGGATTTTAGGAGGGATACAATGTATCAATCATGACATTTTCTACTTTAATGCATGATTCTTGCATAATAGAAACAAATGTCAGGGTCAGACAGAAGCCATCTTTCTGAAAGACTGGAAGACGGTCAGAATTTTTCAAATTTACTTTGAGGGGCGTCTAATTTTTACTGTCAGGAGATGGTTAAAAATGGGGGATGGATAAAAATAGATAATTTGGAAGACTGTCTGAAAAAAACCTCTGGATCTGCCCTGAATGTGATGCTTTTTGCTCCTCTTAATGGTATGTCTAAATTGTTGGTAAAATACTGTAGGGAATGACCAAATAGATGAGTCCATAGCATACTTACAACATTAAGTAGTTTTAAGACCTCCACAAAGACCTTTTCTGATGTCATCATCTCCTTGGCGATGTAATAAATTTTACTTCTCTTGGGCTGGCCCTGAATAGGGAAAAAATTCACTTTAAAACTTTTTCATATTAATTCAACAATTTATAGAATGTTTTAAATACATTTCCTTACAGGAAATTTCAGCACCTCCCCCTTCATGTCCAAGTTATACCAAACCCAAAACACTACCAGTTCACTGAATTATGATCCATAATCCCATTTGCGAATGTTAAGTTTCTAACTTTTTATTCACTCTTGTAAAAGACATCTGAGAAATTGGTGAATTTCAGTAGGATTTGGAACTTTGAAATCATAAATCAGATTTGGAAAGTTTTTTTCCTCATTTGCTTTATAAAGGTTTAATGTACATTGTTTGCTTTCCAAGTATTTGCAGTGTGTCACTACAGCCCTGTAGCCATCAATTTCAAAAAGGGGGTTCTTTTTTCTGAAAAAGTGGACCTTTTGCAATGAAACTTTAGTGTACCAGTACCTAGATCATATTTTACCCAGAATGGATTTTTTCCCCGGCAAAAAGGGCGGTTCTTTTGAACCCCCCCCCCCCCCCTGGATACGGACCTGCACTGTCATGAGAATACACTAGTCCAAGTACAGTTTTAAAAACATTTAAGACTATTTTAAGCGGGAGGGTAACTGTAGTTGTTTCTCCACCCCCCACTCTCCTTAAAAATCCTCATCTCCATCTCTAATTTATTATGATTTATCATTACAAGTAAAAGGACATTTGCAGGTTTTTGTTCACTCTTCATCTTATTGTTCTTTCCACTATCCACCACACATTATAGCTGCCCTATCTCCATGACCCAGAGAGATAACCTGATAGTGTTTAGTTACCCACTGTTATAACATTGTAATATTTAACTCACTGCTGATAACCTATGGTAATTACTCATTAAATCTGGACAAAATAAATTAATAACATTCTTTCATATTCACTATAATTGTAAATAATATATATTTTATGGAAATGTTGATTCCAAAATTCTGAAAACTTGGTTTCATGTCAGAAAAGGCAAATGCCTTAAAATGATAAAAGAGAGATGTTGGTCCAGGGACAAGCAATGCGTTTGAAATTACCAAATATTTGCCATAGCATTATCATAGTAACTGTCATATTATCTATGGCATACAGTGCTCAGTTAATAGTACATCAATATAGATCACTCATAAATACCAAAGTTCTTAAAATAAGGAATAGTTCCCTGTCCTTATCAATGACAGTAATGGGTATAAGCAAAGAAGAAATGACATGTTATAACATAACTGCTAATTAATGATCTACTCATTTTCAAATATCTTACTAGTAGAAAGAAAAATTTTGAAAATTATTAATGATACTAAAACACAATGACAGTGCTGTACATGACCTCGTTACAATAATAGACAGAAACTTCATAATAATTGTCCATTTGTTAAACATGACTGTTGTATCTCCTTCACTGAGATGGCAATATGTGTTTGGACAGATGTGTAAATCAACTACTTCCCTATCAGTTTATGACTATATCATAATAAATGACTGGGTCTGTGCTAATATGATAAAATATGTATGGCAAACAAATAGCTACATTATCTACAGAGTCACAGATAAACTGGTGAAAATCATCAAATATTTTCCTTGTCATATCACTTCTTTTTTAATCTAAATTAAATATTTTTGAGACACAGGCAAAATAATTTTCCTGGTCAAATGAACATAAAGCCATAAAAAAGTACAGCAGTCATTTAAAGCATACTAAATATCAAGATAAAATACCAATTACAGGGGCGGATGCAGAGCTATTTTCTGACAGTCTTCCAAATTATCTTTATTGATTTATCCTCCAATTTTGACCGTCTTCCAACAGAAAAAATTAGATACCTTTTAATGTAAACTTGAAAATCTGACCGTCTTCTGGAAGACCCAGAAGATGGCCTAAATCCGCCCCTGAATTACTTTTCACTCAAAATATGCCATACTGTTGCTACTAACACCTACCTCATTCTGTGATCCATCACTATGCTCACTGTATATGGACTCAGCATAGGAATCTGGTCTGGAGGGTTCAGCATGGAGCCTCATGGTAACAGGGTGACGTCCTGGACCAATGCTCTCCTCCGTGCCATCCTCATCAACAGTGGACAGTGGGCGGGGACCCCCAAAACTAGAGTCCGAGTCCGAGAATGAATTTGTGGGGCTTTCTGACCCCGCTCGGTAGTTGCTGTAGTCATTGTGGTCATCCCCAGCGTCTCTGAATACTGACATATCTGAGTACTCCATGTCCTCCAATACTGCATTATTATCAGAACTTACATCATGTGACAGGTCAGAGGTCACTGGAGACCTTGAAACTCCACTCATATCAAAGTACTCATCCTCTGTGATAAGGGCAGCAGATGGAGACTGAGGTGGCATGTTTACATATGGCTTGATACCAGTAGTGCAGTGCCCCTGAACAGAAGGGGGTGGGGGTAAAAAATTAGCACATGATATGGCTCGAGTACCCTGTGATGGGAAGGACTGACCCTGGGGATTTGGGGTAGGGTCAGGGAGTGGCTTCTGTCCCTGCATATCAAAATACTCTTCTCCTGTGTCATCTTGATGAGAGTCTCCACCTGTTGGAAGGACCTTTTTGTAAGCTGTCATGTCAAAATATTCCTCTTCGTTATTATTTTCCAGCAGGGCTGTTTCAGATTTTAATCCTTGCATGTCAAAGTATTCTTCCCCTTCAAGATTGTCTTGTTTGGCAGCAATGCCCCTCATATCAAAATATTCTTCACCCTCCAGAGAGTCCTGGGATTGCTGAGTCACAACAATAGATGGCACTGCTGTCTGACCTTGATCTTGACCTGATTCCACAAATACATTGCCCACTTCCACAGTCTGTCTCTTTCTCCTTGGTGGTCGTGCTGGAGGGATATCACAGGCTTGTAGAGACTGGGAATGCTTCAGGTTTGTTGTTTTCGGAGGTGGGGGTGCAACAAACGCGGGAGGGGATAAGGGAGGAGTACATGATGGAGGCTCTACAAACTCATAGCCTGGAGGCTTAGATGCAGCTTTGACAACAGGTTCCACATACTCATATGATGCTCTACGCGATTTATGCGTTTTTATTGGTTCTAAATACTCTTCCGCCTCATCAGACCCAACACTAGAAGTCTCCACATGGTTAGAGCTGCTTGGGTGATTTATGCCTTCTACCTGCTCATATAAATTGCTGCCATCACTAACAGTGGTATCGCTACGAGACTTGATAAGTTCATAATCATCATCATCTAGGTAAGAGTAAATGTGCTCACTGCTAGTCTGGGAAATATCTCCAATAGAGTGTCTCCTTGGAGATACTAGTCCTTCGGCCTGCATTCTCTCCAATGTCGTCCTCTTATTTCCTGGGGATGATGGTGTATTTGGAATGTCTCCACAAGGGGGTAGCACATGTGAAGCCTCCTTGTCTTGCAGGTTGCCGGGCAACTTCTTGGGAACAGGAGGAGCTGGTCTTGCTGGTACTAACTTTGGCTTATCTTGGCTGGTGCTTCCACTTGGTGCTTGAAGCCTACTCTTCATGACCTGTGACAACATATGTTGAGCTTGACTAAATTTACTCTGATTCAAACCAGTTACCACTGATTCATCTTTTTTACCCTCTTTATTTCCTTCTTCTTTTTCTTCTTCTACAGAACTAACGGAACCAGATGCACTTGCTGTTCGGGACTTTGGTAATGGGGATTCAACAAAAAACTGGCTTCTACTGTTACTTCGCCCCCTCTCACTTTTGTGCGAGCCAACACTACTCTGACTAGATGTACGCTCTTTTTTCGAAAAGCTCAGCCTTTCTAGCACACTCATATTGTCTGACTTTCTTGTTTCTTTTTCAGTTTTGGTCACCTGTTGCTTAGCTTTTTTCGCTGGATTGTCTACTTGATTGCCTTTTTCTGGATCCTCTTGTCTGGGAGGTTTTCCTTCCTTAGCCCCATCATTTAGAACGTCCAGAAGGGTCCCCACTGATCTGCTGCGACGACACCTTCGACCATCTTCAACTTTTGAGGAAACATTACTCTCACCATCTGGTGCACTCTCATATGAATGTCTTTTCTTGCTGTCTGGTTTTGGAGGACATGGCGGAGGAATCTTAAGTTTACCTTCATTTCCTACAATGTTTGTATCCTTCTTTTCACATGAATTTGTAGGCAAGATGGGCAATTTTGGTGGAATAGGCTTGAATTCTGCTACATTTTCACCAGAATGTTTAGAAGTTTCTCTACCAGTCTGATCCAACATATCCTCTTCTTTAGAATCTATGTTCTCCAATGGTGAAGTTTTGTTAGTTGTTGCATCCTGCAGTTTGGTAGCTTTTCTAGATCTTGGAGGCCTGGAAGGGGAACTGCCATCTTCTGCTGGAGAGTGGTCCTCTTTTAAATCTGAAGATGAAAACATTTTGAGGATGTTCGAAAAATTTGAAGGGCTCTCTTCTGAAGATTCTGGTTTAACAGTTACTTTTTCCGTTGCATTTGGTGAAGACATTTGACTCTCATTTCCATCTGACTGTTTTGAAACCAAATCATTCTCCTCATTTCTAATGCCAACACCAGAGGAACTTTTAGGTAAGGATGATGAATCAGTTGTTTCTACTACAGCAGAGTCACTGACATTCAAATTGGGAGGTGTCTCAGCTAGAAAATCTGGGACAGTTTCCCCCAATTTTGTGTCACCACGTTTCCTTGGCACTGGCCGTGGCTTTAATGCAGGAGACTTGCCACTTGTGCTGCCATCTGGTGTTCTTACTGCTGGTTTTCCGAGTTGGCTGCCTCCTGTCTCTTTATCCTTCGCTGAACCAAATTCAATGTGAGGTACAGATTGCACTACTTTTGATATCCTTGGTCTTGGCTTTGGTGTTGGTGAATTTCTGCCCATTGGCACTGGAGAACTACTCCCCGAAGACAATGGCGAATTTAGACCTGATAGTACAGGTGATATCCTGCCTGTTGGTATAGGCGAGTTCCTACCTGCTGGTACAGGCGAGTTCTGGACTGTTGGTACAGGGTTAGACTTAAAATGGTGTTCATTGGCACTATTAGTCTTTATACTGGTTGACGGGTCAGGTGGTTTTGGTTGCCCTACTGGAGCCTGTTTGGGTAAAGGGGGAGGTGGCCTCATTGGTCTAACTGGAAATAAAAATACAACATGGTTTAACAGTTTGAAAATTGTTTGTTTCTTAAGTGGAATAATTAATAGGTCGTATAAAAAATCAAAGGAAGTTGAATAAATAAATAAATAAATACATAAATGGGCATTTGATCCCTCTCTATGTCTCTCACTTTCTTGATTTATCATCAGATGAGTGCTATAATACTTGTAGACAGTTCTAAATTTTACTGTTATGGTATCTACAGAGTTTCACACCTCAATTCAAATATTTTCACTGAAATAAAATGTGTCAAACTTTTTCCTTTTCAGTGTGACTCACATACTAAACCAACTGATCGGAAACACCATCTGTTGTTCTATTTTGAATGAGGTCACAAGACAGAAAGATATGTCACTACAGACAGTATTACACTTTAGTGTAGGATATCTCAGGTACAGGCAATGCGATACTTTTATAAGCCCTGATAATCTTTAAAGGCTTAGGTAATGTGTTTTTTTTTCAATAACAATGACAAGAGCAGTAGTTTTGTGTAATGGTGGCGTGCACGGTTTTGTTCACAGATGACTCAGAGAATGATCTGGGAGAACTGAAACTGGTGCTAATCCACTGTGTACAGAAATATCTAAACCCTGATTCATTGTAATTTAGAAAAAAAACTTGAAAAATCAACACTCACCAAGAGAAAAAGAGCAAATGAATGACATTCATAGTAAATACAAAACCATAAATTAATGAAATAATTTTAAAATAATCATGAGCAAAAGATAGTTTATGTACTGTCCTTATAATAAATTATTCAGCTAATGACATCTCATATGTTGTTGTTGGATAGATCATTACCAGTATTTCAAATCCAGAGGGCAAGTAAAATTTGAAGATTGACATATGAGGAAAAGCTGTTAGAAGAAGATGCCTTTAAGAAGCCAGCTTCTGATAATAAGTTGTTACATACTGTTATTTACTTACAGATGAAAATGATTCATTGATGTGCAAACTGTAGCACACAAACAAAAACAAATAATGAAAATATGGCAGATACACAAATAAAGAATTTCTCAACAAAAAA